ACCGTCACGCACTGCACGCTTGAAAGCTAAAAGAAAAAAGGTCTGTTATTTGTTAAAATAACATTTTTTATTATCTTACGCACGACTGCAGCTTGACAATTATCAGCAGAACAATATTTTCATAGGATGAGCCCTAAACAGAGGCAACAGAAACCAATTATATTTGGAAACTGTAAAGAAGTTTTTCAGACCTTAATAATATTTTACTTTGCTGCAAACCTCGTTTTTGGAGAGAAAGAAGAGGAATCCGAATTTTGTAAAACGGGATGGTTGGAATTCGTCAAAGATAGAAAGGAATGGGAGAAAGAATGTTTACAGGAAGACACTATAAAAATATCTCCGTGTTGTAAGGAGACAGCTGACTATCTCGAAGACAGATATGAAAATTACGTAAATGTGTGCCCTATCATTGGTAAGATTTCTATCACTTTTCGTATTAAGTGGTAAGAGTTTAGTGCATTTGCATGGTTATGCTGGACGGGACGGTTGCAAAATGGGAGCAAAGGAATGGGAGAAACTTTTAAAGGAATTTTAACCCCTCCCCTAAGCACGGTACAATGTGTACCTCCTCATGGTTGGTTGTTGTCTCTGCTGGTCGTTCGTGCATCATACCAAGATGTGCGTTGCGCCGTATCAGATCTCGTAGAGCATTAATTAGGAGCAGTGGCGTCGCTTGCATCGATAAGTGGGGTGGACATATTCATATATTCATGTTAACAAACCGTTAAAACAATCAATTCGAAAAGAAATGAATCATGTAAAATACGAATAAATAAATAAGTCCACCCCACTTACCAAGCTGGCAACGCAACTGATTAGGAATGACCAGGGCAGCTAAAAGCATAATTTTTTTCTTAGGGCGTAAGTGTTTTTGCAATTTCGAAGAGAAACAAATTGAGCGCATTACGTACAGTAACACGTCAGAACCATTGTCGTGGACCAAACCAAATAATTATATGCATGAAAAAGTTCCAAATCAGTCATCAGTTCGTTGAACAAAACATAAAGTCACCGCACAAATTTCCTGTCGGTTTGAATGAAATCAAGAATGTCTTTGAACTGTATGGAGGGATGAACATGACGTGTACCATTACAGTCTATGTTAAGTCTTGTAATGACAATGGTAAGCTTGGTTTACTTATAATACATTTACAATCCTTACGAATATTTGATATGCATGGTTCTGGATTTTGAATCTTATCTTGCAATATTTTTTTGTAAAATAATTATAAAGTTTACGTTAATTGTAAACAAGTTCTCTACTGCATGTTTAGAAATTGAAGAAATGGATCAGGAAAATGGCAACGAACGAGGTAAAACTACTATGACCATCAACAAATATAAAAAAGTAATCGACTATTTCTTTTTCATTGTAAATTAAACTCCAAAATGTTTAGTTGATTAAAAAAAATTCAGTGCATGCAGGTACATCCGCGGTTAGTCTTCATCGTGCATTCGCTTTGAAAACTTAATTTCAACTTAGGTATAACTAATAAATTACATTGATAAAAAGCAATGACTTCTGTGGCATTCACAAGCCACTCTATGCCAGGCTTAAAATTTCAACGAGCAATATGCGACAGCTGCTTCGCAAATTTTGAGCTCGTACTACTCAATGATTGTTTCTTTACCTACTCTTTTAATATTACAATATTAATCATACTTTTGCGCATATATGCATGGTTACCTAATAATAGTACAATTAATAGTACAGCCGATGTTTTCTTACAACGAGAATTTGTTATCAAAATACTGCGTGGGGGATTTTTTCGCCTGAAATTTCTTTCGAGAAAGGTCTTCTTTTAAAACAACCTTAATTTGCAGAGTATAAATGTCGAAAGAATGCGCGTCAAAGTTATGCTTGAGAAACTGACTCTGCTTGTGCCACCCATAACAATGAATAGCAGCTACGTATACATAGTTTCAGATTGCAAAAAAGATATCCTCGTTCTTTGGGACAACTCGAATTCTGTTAACTCTAAATTCACCTCGGTTGTGAAAGAATTCCTTAAGACGTTTGTCGGGAATAAAAAGCTGGGCGTGAAAGAACAAGGCACTTATCTTGGTTTCATCATCCTCTCCAACGACAACCGAACTGTGAAGTCATTAAAAGTTGGGGAAATCAAGAAGAAAACAGAGTTGATCCAGTGGTTGAATAGTTTTGAGTATGAAAATGGCTCCGTCGTCAATACGACTTTCATAAACAGAGAATTTGAACTTGCCTACAATGTAAGTTAATCCTATATAGCTCAAGGGCCGGTTGTCCAAAGCTAGGTTAGCGCTAACCCTGGGTTACATTTGACTCAGTTGTTTTGGTTTATATGCTTCTGGACTGCTTTTCGTTTCAAGACTTAGCAAAATAAGACTTCTATTTACCCACAAAATATTTATGGGAAAACATGTTCAACTGCATAACCGAGCAATTAAAAAAACTGATGCACAAATTTAAGTTAACCGATAGGGTTAATGTAACCCGCTTTTGAACAACCGGCTCCTGGAGCCAGAAAACTAGTGCGGTTGCAAATAGGGCTATTGGAATTTTTACCCTTAAAAACATATATAATATACCCTTATGTTCTCATGGGACACACATCTCATCACTATAACTTATGGTAAAGTTAATTTATTCTGATGTTAGCAGCAGAATTCTCCACAAAGTGAGATCATAATATGTTTTACTTCCACAAAAAACATTTATTTTTAAAATTCAATTGAAGACAAAAGTATAGAATTCCATTCAAAGTTTTCAAATTTTTTTAAAGATTTTTAACGACAGTAGTCCAAAGAATGTCCGTCCGGAGGTGGAGGATGTTATTCTGCTGTTAATCAGCGGAGCACTCAATGCTTCAGAAAATGAAACAAAGCTTGTAGATGAATATACCAGAATAGTAAAGAAGAAAAACATCAACATTAGCATTGTTGGCTTGGCTATCGGCAATAAAGATAAGGTCAAAGTGTTCAAAACTTATGTGGAGCGCGGGGCGTCACAAAAACTAATATTTGAGTCAAATTTGGAAGAGTTGGACAAAGTTGTGAATCAATCAGTTAATGCTTCTTGTGAGACACCGGGTAAGTAAAAACAAAGGGTTTGTTAAAAAATATATTTTTTCATCTTTTTCTGTTCGTTGATGATTTCTGTGTATAAAATACTTTACCTAGCTAATAACTGTCGCTGGCGGAGGTAGGTTTTACGCAGTCTTTGAGTACTCCTAAATTTGCTTCTTGAATCGCTATGTGCTCTTTGTTTCGTGAAAGCAATGCATTTTTGACATTTTTCTCTACAGGTCAATGCAGATGTAGAGATGGCGGTACTAATCAGTTTACTGCATATGTTAAACCTTATGAATATCAAGGGTTGGTCCATTGGCCAGTACCCGAAGTTACGTGCTCTGATTTTAAAATCAGTCAGATCCATCCACCTGGCGTCACGTCCCCTGCGAATTTCTCGCTGGGCAAGCACGTGATCACCTACTTGTACTCGTATAAACAATATGGACAGATTCTCGAATTTAAATGTTTTGCCAAATTCACAGTTGTCCGTAAGTGACGGTATCCCGAGACGTTTTGATGTTTTTCTATCCACCTAACATAGCATGCATGTATTTTCATTAAGGAAAACATTAAAATACAACTTCATGCAGTAAGGTAGCAAATAACGGAAGGATGAAAACCAAATCGCTGGTTTTATGTTATATCAACGTTCCACAATTGTTTGAATTTTTCATTTAGGTTGTGATTGTCCATGCACCCAAACGGTGACTTCTCGAGTTAAAAAAGAACAGAAATATATCTTAGTCAGTTGGTCACAACCTAAGCCTAGATGTCCGACCACACCAAGTCCAGCCAATCCGGACAAAACCAGTGATCTGTTTTCTATTGGTAACTACACGCTGTACTACAACTACACGTACAACGGCAAACATCAAACATTTGGTATCCAATGTCATGTAAAAATTGTTGTCACAGGTATAATAATGTTGTTAATTGGGATTACTTTCATAAAGTAGTATAGTGCACTCTGTTTTACTTTACTTTCTGGGCCGTTGCGAGTGAAATGAATCAGGGGCTTGCAGCACTAATTTTATCCGAATTTTACAATTTTCTGCCTCAGACGGAATTTTTGTATTTCATCGAGAACGTCAGCAAACAATAACTCGCAAACAATTTTTCTTTGTGAGAAAGCATATCGATAAATAATATTAATAACATGCAGGGATACAGATACAGATGAGAAATGGTATATAATCTATAAGCTTCTAGGTGTTTGAAGCAAGTAGCTAGGTGCCTGTTTTCATTTATTCCGTATTTGCATGCTGTCATTAAAAGATACAGTTTACTTGTACACGGGCTTAATATGTCATTTTGCTACATTATCTCGTACAAAGCTGTCACAACATTCAAAATGGTTTTTGAAAGTGTAAATTTGTACTTTGATGAAACAAATGTCACCTAAAAACGTCAGTAGCGTAGCCAGCCTGACGATTTTCCCAATATGCTAATATTTTGGTGTTCATGCATTGACAGTGAAAACAATAAATTTCTAGGGAAATGAATAATTATAATAACATGAAATTTACATATGCATAGCGGGACAAAATCGTCAGGCTGGCTACGCCACTGAAAAACGTTAAAGTCGCAGCTGCAAAATGCCATGCAATATTCCCTGCATAAGTATTCGAAGAGTAAGTATATAAAATAAAATTTGACGTTTAGTCCATGAAGATTTGTATATACTGTTTTGATGTATTGAAGGTTGAATTTTTAAACAACGGCTGTTAAACTGCGTAAAAATATTATTTTTCTCTTTATTTACACTTCAATGGTTTTGGTGTTTTTTGGAACAACGCCGTGGATTTTATCGATATGGCTTTTTCTTTTTAGGGTGGTGTGCTTGCGATGGTGATATTTCAACGGAACAGTACACCAAGCCAGGGGAAAACACCATTTTCTTGTCATGGTTGGAACCTGAACTGAACTGCTACAAGCCTGTTGAAACTGAGATGACCGTGTATCCTCCTAACACAAAAAATCCACAGGAGTTTGGCTTCGGAGAGCACAAAATTAAATACACTTTTGCGTACGAAAATAGTGATAAAATATGGACCAGCGACGATTGTCTATTTACTGTCAATGTCGGTGGTAAGTTTTTATAGCGCATAAAACAGGTTAAAATGATAAAACAGGTTAAAATGGTAATAGTATTGGTCTACACTGGCAAAAAAAACGCAGGAATAACGCATACATATTTGAAAAACTATTATTTTCACTAAATAATCATGCAGATGAATAAGTTTCAGACATGTGATTAGGCGATAGAAAAGCCAAAATACAAATCTCATGACCAATATAGGACAGTTGCGGAAAAGTCATCGCGAGAATAGAATGTCCTTTTTTCGGTTTCATAAAGACTCATTTTAAAATCATCTCCAGAGCATAACCAGAGAGGAAGAGAATGCAAAGCATGCACATTCTATATGTATTTAAAGTCGTACCAGGTTGAAAACCTTGAAGGTCTTAGGTTATCATCGAAAAAGTCTTTCGTTCTTTTACGGAACGTTTCCCATTTGTCACTTAAAGTAATACTCTTTACTTCCATTATTCATTAATGAATTGTTAAGCACATGGGCGTTTTATGTAATAAGAATATTTATATTTTAAGCATGCGAATGTCCAAGCACACAGACGATAAGAGCTGAAGTTAAACTCGGCCAGACAAAAGCCAATGTCAGTTGGTTGGAACCTAAGCCTAGTTGCCCAACTACGGCCGATGCAGGCAACCCAAGCAATACGAGTGGAAATTTTTCGGTCGGTAAACACAAACTCGTTTACAAGTACAAACACAGCACCGATTTTCAAACCTTTTATATGCAATGTGATGTGAACATTATTGTGACAGGTAGGACAGTGGCTACGGTATAATATTTATATAAAAAGAGCAACCTCTGTGTGGGAACTTGATTGTTGTGAGAAACTTTGCCCAAAAAATCTCAAAACAAAAATACGCTAGTGGAAACAAACACTAAAGTTCTAAAAACTTTAATTTCCACGTTTAATAGTTTAAATCTGATTAATTTCCACGTTTATATTTTTAGGAGATTACTGCGGCACAACAGCCTATGATCCAGCCACTTATATTTGCTGTTGTGGCAAGGCTTACCTTAAGAAACCTGATCACATGTGTTGTGGCACAAAATACTACGATACTGCTAGCATGATATGCTGTCAAGATGACAGTCTCGTGTCTGTTGAAGGACATTGTCCACTTTAGATGCGAAACATACTACATAACGTCGCGTCGAATTTTTGATCCTTCGTTTTCGTATATTAAATGATTAGTATTTTATATTATATCAAAGGTATGACTAGTGACAGACTAATGCCTTGCAGAGATTTTCAGTTCGTTCAGTACGCTAGTATTAAGCTAATACGCTGCAAGCTTTGAGATAAAACGGCCATTATAGTTAAAAATTATTTGCGCTTCCTTTTAAATGTTTCCATTATGACTGTATGGTTCATTATGAGTAAGCAATAAATTAATTGTATTTGATCTAAAGCATTGCGTTTGTGTAAAGCATCTGCTGGCGGATAACTGAGTTTTGCCTGATTATGCGATTTAACTGACAAATATTCGCTAATATGATCAATTTTTTTATTTGAATAATTTTTTGACACTTTAATTAAAACTAATTAAAACTAATTAACTATTCTAACTAAAATACATTTTCAATGTGACAGTTTAATTAAAACTCTCAAATAGAATTAAAATCTAAAAACCCCAGCAACCTTAGCATTTAGCGCAAAATCGTCTACTACTTCAGGTTCTTTTCTATAAAAAGCTGATCTAGACCCCCTTACACTCACATGTATCGATCATATAGGATCCCAGAAGAGATTGAAAGATTGAAGAAACGTTATGACAACTGCATATTGTTCGTGATCTCTCTCTGCTAATTTCTGCGCCAACTGAGCAAGAAACTTGTGACATTCAGATTATGCTAATCAAATTGCTTTTACCAACTAAATGTATGATGATAGTCAATTATTGGACGAGGTCGATTTGTCGGTGGCAAGCAGACGATATTTAACGAGAACCGAGTTCAATGATCGTTTTATGATTCACTTATCAAGCTTCGTTTTATCTTTTATTATAAGACATTGTGACTAAAGCGAATTCCGAGCAGTGAAGATTTACAGTAAAGTTCCATCGCCGTCTTTCTTTCTTGCTCCTGCATAAAACTTGCAAAGGACGTTGGTAAAAGTTCTTTTGAGCCAACTAGATCATCTTTTGCTTTCGATTTGTTCTGCTTTTAAATACTGGCGAAAGACATTGACAGCGGTTTTAGTCGCTTTTTTGGTATTTTCCGCGTTTTTTTCTTCGAGTAAGCCAGACAGCTCATTTTCCGAAAGTTTAGAGAAAAGAGTCACCATGCATTGTGTACAAAATTGAAGCCAATGTGCATGTTCAGAGTATTATTTCTAGCAGAGCAACATCTTCAAAAAATGCGCATGCTCAGACTATTATTTTCACGCAGTTATTTGCAGGTAAATGAAAAAATGCTCATAATTAAATCAATTTAATATAACTAATTAATTAATAATGGTAATTGCACTGAGCAGAGTGCAATTTGATTTGAAATCAAACGCGTGATTACAATTTTCAATAAAAAGTTTGATTTCACATCAAAATTGCACGACACAGAGTGCAATTTCCACTTTATTATATTCATTTTGAAATCATACAAAAAATTAAACAAATTCAAAACGATTTATTGGTCAAAAGAACTGTAAACGGTGTAAAATATGAGTAATTTTATTTTGTTCCATTTCCCCCCGTAATTTGATTGGATAGTTACACTGAAATACAAAATCTGATTGGTTATTGTGGTGCAGAGCTTCAATCTTATTAGCTTATAAATGATGTGATTAATCCAAGAAACACCATTGATTTCAAATGAATATAATAAAATATATAAATACGTTTATTAGTACTATATTGTTTATTCGTAATTAGCTGAGCGTGAGCTGCTGAACAGAATATCTGTATTTATTATGTTATAGATTAGAAAGTTTTATATATTTATTAAATGAAAAATCATGTTATGTCTGAGTATTATGCACCATAGAAATAATAGACATCATGTCGAGTCATCTAAGTATATATTAATGCTTGTCATGTGGACCGCGTGTCTCAGCTATGATGCAATTTTGCTTTGCCCAAGTTCAGCGCAACACATTTCACAAGACAATGGACACTCATCATATAATACACTGAAAAATTTGACAAGTCTGTGGGAAGGGGTGAATTGCTACAATTGCATGACACTTCTTGTCATTTCATGAAAATTCTTCCTTGACATGCCAAAATTTTGACTGACATAAAAACCAGATTCGCTCCTAGTGATTCTCATCAGATTCTATCAAATTACATCATTTACATGTTTTAGCGGAGCACTCAATGCTTCAGAAAATCAAACAAAGCTTGTAGATGAATATACCAGAATAGTAAAGAAGAAAAATATCAACATTAGCATTGTTGGCTTGGCTATCGGCAATGAAGATAAGGTCAAAGTGTTCAAAACTTATCTGGAGCGCGGGGCGTCACAAAAACTAATATTTGAGACTGAGTCAAATTTGGAAGAGTTGGACAAAGTTGTGAATCAATTAGTTAATTAATGCTTCTTGTGAGACACCGGGTAAGTAAAAAACAAAGGGTTTGTTAAAAAAATACATTTTATCATTTTTTGTTGTTCGTTGATGATTTCTGTATATAAAATACTTTACCTAGCTAATAACTGTCGCTGGCTGAGGTATATACAGTAGGTTTACGCAGTCTTTGAGTACTCTCAAATTTGTTTCTTGAATCGCGTACGTACTCTTTGTTTCGTAAAAGCAATACGATTAACATTTTTCTCTCCAGGTGAATGCAGATGTAGAGATGGCGGTACTAATAATTTTGCTACATATGCTAAGCCTTATGAAAATCAAGGGTTGGTCCATTGGCCAGTACCCGAAGTTACGTTCTTTGCGTAACGATTAAGGGGATGGTGCACATTTTATTTTTTAAAAGAAAATTAATCATAATACAAAAACTTCACAAAATTTTTCACAAATATTCATGGGCATAATACCGATCATATTACACCTCACTATACGACAAACTATGCTTTTATAAGCTTTAAACTTCGACTTTCATGTTCCAACAAAGAAATTTGTAAGTCTGTGTGCTAAACTGGTTTGTTAGATAAAAATGTTGACAGGAAAGCTTAGGTTGATGTAAATATTACATAATATTATGAAAATATTACTATATTTTTGTTTCCGAAAAATAGAAATGCTATCGACTCATTTGAGTTTTTATATCAAAGTTAAAGCCGTTCCTTGACATTCAGGGAAGCTCAATTCCACGTATACTAAATTAATTAAGATCAGTTCTTTAATACATTTTTCCAGTTGTCTTGTGTCTGTTATGCCCCTTTGCCTGTAATATCTTGTCATGTACTATCGTAAACCCATGCATCTATCCCATCTCCTCCCCCGGGTCTAGTTTTTTAACACCTTGTAAATGGATTATATTCAAATCTTATATTATTTTATATCATTTAGTCTGAAGAAGTTAAAGACAAAACGTTCCAAATAAAATTATTTGTAAATCTTTATTGTTTTTACAGCCATCTTAAAATTACATTTTGGGCAGATTTGCATGGATACATACATTAATTGGGTTAATGTTAACTGTATACACTGTACTTGGACTTTAGAATGCATGCAAGAGACATGCTCGTGATTTGGGATAATTCCGCATCTGTTGGCATTGGCAATTTCCTGGATAATGTGCTGCCTTTCCTAAAGAAGTTAGTCGCAAATCCGAAACTTGATGTGGGAGAAGATGGCACTCATATTGGTTTTATCACTTTCGCCAGTGAGGACAAGACCAGGCATTTGTTGAAGATTGGGTCGAAAGTTGACCAAGAAAATTTGCAGTCTTGGTTGGATGACTTAGACTACCAAAGAGATTTAATGGGTGCATACACCTTCACGGGTAAAGCATTCAAGTTTGCAAGTGATGTAAGTAAACCGACCTTTAGAATTAAGGCTGTGCTATTTAAACGAAGGAATAATTTCTGAGTTTAAGTGAAGATCCCGCGACAATTATCTAGGCGGTGCAAGCAATTTCTGCTCATAATAGGACTACTTCAACTGTTGCATTTTTTGTACATACTTATACGCACGTAAAAGTTTAAATGATCTTATGCATGCATTTAACGATTGATAGAAGATGCATAGGCTCGGATTTTATTGATTTACTCAACAACCTAAAAGGCTGTTACGTGCGAGTTCAAACGCGCTAAAAAGCCTTAAGCAAATTTCCAGGCGTCGCAACATGTATGGCAGTTGGTATATTAAAAGAAACCTTTCCCTGTTTTTGTTCGTCCAACGTCTAAAAGACCCTGGGTACGACGTTGCAACGGTGAATGTTCTACCATTGGAATGTTCCTTAAATCCTCATAAGCAGTAAATATATACTTTTCATCATCATAAAAAACATAAAACAAAAAAATTGTATTCAATAACTTGTTAGCGCTGTGAGTAGTTGACAAGCAGCGGCTAATATTGTTTTGAAGTTACACTAAATCAAACTGGTTATGTTTTGCTGTATATACTTTGTTACGGCCATAATTTATTTACTTTTCGTTATTCCTAAGGAGTTCCGTTCAAAAAACCCATTAAACCACCGTAAAGATGTGGACGATGTCGTATTGTTATTCACCGATGGAAAACCGAGAGCAGCGAAGAAATATTTGATTAAAGAAGAATATGAAAGGGCTAATAAATGCTCGGCAGAGATGATGGCAAGGAATGTGTTTATCGTCGCCTTGGCAGTGGGAAATGAAGCGAAAAAGCATGACGTGCAGAAAAATATTGCCTCGTGGTCAAACCAAATGTTTATCTCACCGTTTCATGAATTGGACGAAGTTCGCAGAAAAATCGTCGATGAATTATGTAGCGGTAATTTTTTCCACTTATATTATACCGTTCTGCAATAATATTATATAACGAAAAAGTTAAATTAAAATCCGTTTGAAGAAATTAAAAAATTCACAAAGGTTAAATCACAAAGAATATTGTATAGTATGAACTTCGTAGAAAGCATATCCTGCTCTTTAGGAAAACGTAAATTTAGTCATTCGAGTTTAGGGTGCTTTAGCTCTGTTCAATTTTTTCCTATACTGTAACTAAAATTACCTTAAGAATGAATTTCTGTTGAAA